CTCTGGGTGTTTGATGCTTGGAGGGCACAGTCAGGCCATCCACTCTACCTGAATTGGTCTCTGGTTCCTGCATGTTTTTAAAGGTTCTAACCAGGTGCCCGAGTCTGAGCAGAAATTTCAGATTGGGAAGTATTTTCCAGAGGAGGGCAAAAAAAGGGTGTTGGAAATAGCAATCGCTATAGAAAGTACACGAGAAAAGGCCACTGGTCTCTGACTATCTGGCAAATGGAGAGATGCAGATGTCTTCAACGGGAATAAGCTCTGCCTAGATAAAAGCAAAGCTTATGAGAAGAAGGATTTTTTCTGGAAATGTCCTCTTTAGTTAATGAGATCTGTCTTATCATTTGTTTTGATCCCAGAGCTGCCCTGGATCCACTTCCTCACTTCTGCTCTGAGCTCTCAGGCTGTAGGCAAGCAACACTCATCCTATCATTGGCATGATACATGCTTTTCTCACACATCACTCAGGTCTGCACCATTATACATCATTCTCCTACTCAGACTGTCAGCAGTTTGACTGGCAGCATGGTGGATGCAAGGTCAAAAGGCTGCATCTCAACTCTCTGGGTACCTGGCAAAAAACACAAAGACAGACGTGTGTTCATTTGCCAGGTAGAAGCATCACAGCTACTCATGTGATGACCAGGCAAGATGATATAATCATCACACTGGTACTTCCTACCCCAGTAAAGCCTTTACCTGTCCACTGTGTCAAGAGCATTCAGCAAGACAGGGGGGTGATGAAATGCATGAAATAAACCTTAGAGACATGTCACAAAATGACAAAGCTCTTTGGCTATTGTCTTTTCCTGTCTTTTCCTGAGTAGGGCAGTATAGCCACTTCTTTTTGAGCATACTGCCTGCCCAGGATTATGCCGAAAACAATCTCCAGGGAAGACTTGTCGAAGTCATCCTGCAGATTTTCTCTTTATCTCAGCACAGCTGCTCTCATCCTGATCTACCGGCCTGATTTCTTGCTGACTTGTTACTGAGAATGCTACTGCAAGGATTCCAGATGCCCCACAGCACACATTCCCCTTCGTTCCTTCCTTTCCAAGTCTCCCAGTGACTGCACACAGCTAGCTCAGGTCTCACTAATGGAGAAAACAGCATTTGTCGCAGACAAGCCAAAAGACTGACACTGTTTTAGTTTGAACAGTTTGCAGTCAAAGATTTCCCGTAGTTTTGCCATATTTAGTACAATCTCCAAGACAGAGGAAAATCTCTACTATATGAAGTAGGGACATCCTGGGGTAATGGCTTTAAACTGAGAGAGGATAGATTTAGATCAGGTATGAGGAATAAATTCTTTACCGTGACGGTGCTGAGGAGCTGCCCCATCCGTGGTAGTGTTCAAGGCCAGGTTGGACTGTGTTTTGAGCAACCTGGTCTAGTGGAAGGTGTCTCTGGACATGGCAGGGGGTTGGCACTGGATGATCTTTAAGGTCCCTTCCAATCCAAACCATTCGATGATTCCATGTCCCTTATGTTGCTGTTAAACTGTTATTTGGCCCCAGTTTCTTTATACTCAACACAGCTCAAGGCTTCACTTTGCAGTTCTGAAGCTTGTTTAACAGTTAGTTTGTTATCCAGAATCTCCTCCCCTTCTGTCAAGCAGCCATCTATCACATCTTGCTTGTTGAGGAAAAACTCTCTACTTTCCTTTCTTGTTTACCATCTTTACTGTCCTTATACACTAATGACTTACATGCAGGAAAGTGATTCAAAGTTGCTATGTTTCTGAAGCCAGAGACAGTCTGAGCTTTTCAGGTAATTGGGAGTAAAATCAGACTTTATATTCAACACATCTGGGAGGAATAATCCCTCTCTATTTCTTGCTGCATCAAAACCAGCTGCATACCGTCTCTACCACCTGAAGAAGCGACCTGGATGACGGATAGCAATGTAACTTGTGAGCAATGTCAGCTTAATGGATGTCCACTGCAGTGTAGCGATGGTCCTGAAACAGTACTTTGAGGGTGTGCCACCAGCAATGGTGACATGGATTAATAAGTATTCTTCTTTTGAGATGACGTATACTAAAAAACATAAAGGAGGATGAGCTCACTTCCTACTACATCACTAAAACTATTTTCAAATATAAAGCCTTATAAAGCTGTGCAAGCACACAGGAGCCGCTGTCTACTCAGCAGTAACTTACATGTGTTTCAAGATGTTTAATAGTTCTGTGCACTTCATTACCTTGCCCAAGATGAGTGAAAAGGAACCAAAGTTCTATTTCTCACCTGAGAGAATGCCAGCTCTAACCCCTGTAGCTGGGAGGAGCTGAAGCTGTTTGGCATGCAGGTATGTGCATGTTCTGTACAGAAGCAAGAGAGCTCAGTCCTGCTGTAGGAGCTGCTGTGTGTTACTGAAGCATGGAACTTTCCCTCCCCGAAGCAGGTCTCTAAGAAAAGCCTCCTGGCCAGCAGCTGGCTATAGATGCCTGGTGCCTCTCTTTTCTCCGGGCATCCCGACTGCTCTGCAGCTCCTCGTTTGAGCCTGGAATGGCAACCGATGGGAGAAACTGCTTTCAAACTCTTTAATAACAGTGATGGTAACCTTTGACCTTGTTGAATAGCAGCACTTTTGACCTTTCATTTGTTAAATAATGCAACCACTTACTTCCCGATCCTTATCAGTGTTTAGTAATTGGGGTCAAGACAAAGCAAAGCAGAGTACAGTTACCCACCAGACTTTACTGAACCAGGAAGAATTTCCTTAAGCTATAGATTTCCTTTTTGATTATCTTCAGTCAGGACAGGCAAAGACTGGAGACTGGGTGGCTTAGAAGCTCCATAACAGGTTAAAGAGCCTCTCAGCTGTTAGCATCTGGTTTGAATCCAGCAGGTTTTGACAGTGGCAGAAATTCATTAGGGTCTCAAGTTGCCTCTGACTCATACGAGATGAGTTTGGCTTGCAGTTCTACTTGCAGTTTTTTAGCTCAATAATAGCCATAATAGAAAATGTTGATGCACAGTTCTAGAGACATCAGTGATCAAATGAGTTTTACAAAGCCTGAAAGTTTCTATTCCCATGGAGCAAATCAGCAAAGATGATAGGTGACAACAAGGACAAAATATTTGCAGTCACTCCTGCATGTTCTGCCTGATTCATGTCAAAGAGAGGTGGTTAACCTTCAAGAATCTGAGTTGCTTTTTGTGTGGTGTAAGTAAAACTAAGGGGTCAGGCTGTGGGCTGCACAGCTCGTGAAACACCTCACTTGACAGACAAGGAGGTGATGACTGTTACAGGCAGCAGTCCCAGGATCAGTGTTTTCCTTAGAAATGAACAGGAAATGGAGGAAAAAGAAATGCAAGAATTTATGACATGGCAATGGATTTAAATCTAAGTGCATAGACATTTATTTATATAATGCAAACATACAAAGCTTAACTTCCTGAAGATGTTGAACAGAAATTCAACAATCTCATTATTACTGATTGCATTGTGTCTTATGCCAGATTGCAAGATTTTAGGGCAGGAGCTTTTTCATAAGTGTTTGTCTTTATGATTCAGCAAAATGAGCCCCCAAAGAGTGATCCAAATACAGTCATTCATAAATAAGCAATTTATTTATAGGTGTACCTGAGCTAAATAAGATCCATAAAAATGAGACTAAATTATGAGATTCAAAGGTGTTTGTTTTCTTTCTTTTTTTCCCTGTTGTTCAAGAAACAAGGCAAATGGAGCTTGGAGCTGCTTATGGTATTCCAGCTAAAGTGCAATACATTTGTATGCCCTCCTCCTTTTGGGACTTACCTTTGGGTTGAGGCCTCTTGAAATTGAGGAACACCTATGCAGGTCAGTCACCTCTAACCGCGTTGCTTTGTCAGTGTCTCTGGGGCCCCTGACAGGGTTAGCTTTACAGCCAGATCTGTCTGTGAGCTCTCCAGGGCCCCGCTTTCTCTTTTGTGGTTCTAGAGGAAGGCCATGGCAGACTCACAGATAGTGCACAGCCTCCTCGCTGTGACCTGCTTGACCAACCTGATCTCCTTCTATGATAAGGTGACTCTCCCCACTGATGAGGGGCAGGCTGAGGACATTGTTTGGACTTCAGTAAAGCATTTGACACTGTCTCCCACAGCATTCTTCTGGAGAAACTGTCTGCTCATGCCCTAGACAGGTGGGTTCTTCTCTGGGTTAAAGACAGGCTGGATGGCTGAGCCCAGAGTGGTGGTGAATGGTGTCACATCTGGTTGGTGACTGGTCACTAGTGGTGTCCCCTAGGGCTTGGTATTGGGGCCGGTGTTGTTTAACATCTTCATTGATGATCTGGATGAGGGGATTGAGGGCACCGTCAGTGAATGTGTGGACGACACCAAGTTGGGTGGGAGTGTCGATCTGCTGAAGGGTAGGAAGGCTGTGCAGAGGGATCTGGACAGGCTGTGGACAGTAGTATGAGGTTCAACAAGGCAAAGTGCCAGGTCCCGCGCTTGGGCCACAACAACCCCATGCAATGCTCCTGGCTTGGGGAAGAGTGGCTGGAAAGCTGTTCAGTGGAAAAGGACCTGGGGGTGCTAACTGTCAGTTCTGAACATGAGCAGCTTGTGCCCAGGCAGCCAAGAAGGCCTGTATCAGATACAGTGTGGGCAACAGGACCAGGTAAATGATCACCGCCCTGTACTTGGCACTGGTGAGGCTGCACCTCGAATCCTGTGCTCAGTTCTGGGGCCCTCACTATAAGAGAGATGTTGAGGTGCTGGAGTGGGTCCAGAGAAGGACGACAAAGCTGGTGAAGGGTCTGGTTTAGCAGCGGCCTTGGCAATCCTGCGGTAACAGTTGGACTTGATGATCTTTGCAGGTCTTTCCGAAACTAAACCATTCTATGAGTCCATGACTCCCCTCCTCAGGTCCTCAGCGCCGCTGTGGGAAGGCACGGCACCGGCCGTCCAGCGGGCACAGAGGCAGCAGCGAGTGCTCGCCATTGTCGGCCTGCGCCCAGCGGCACCGTTTCCATGGCAGCGGAGAGGCGGGACCCGCCGTTGCCATGGCAGCGCCGTTCCCCCGGGCCTCTGCCAGGGCGCTGACTTTGATGGACGTTTTGGGACCGTTCCCTGTAGCGGAAGCACATCCTCACCTTTGACCCTAGCCTTCCAGCCCGACAGACGGCTGCCTGGCAACGGCGACGCGGGGCCGCCATGGACGCGGCGTCGCTGCCCGCTGCCCTGGAGCTGGCGGCCGGCGGCGGCGCGGGGTTGAGCCCGGAGAAGCGGGCGGTGCTGGGGTCCTCGCTGCTGCTCCTACAGCGCGACTACCGCTTCGATCGGGTCTGGTTCTGGGGCTGCATCCAGGGCGTGCGCGGCGCCTACTACATCGCCGAGGGGCTGGGCCCCGACCGCGCCGCGCCCCGCAGCCGCCTCTACAGGTGCGGAGGTCGGGCCGGGCCTCACCGCGGCTCCGTGCAGGGAACGACCTGGGAGCGGGGCGGGGGGCGGCCTGGGAGCTGGTGGGAGAAGAGAGGGGACTGGGGAGCCAGGGCAGGCTGCCCAGCTCCCCTGGAGGGGGATTCTCTGTCCCCTGAGGGGCCTGGCAAGGCTGCATTAATCCGGGTTCTTCCGCGAGCTCAGGCCTGTGTCATGCTTGCGCTGCAGCTTGAACTGCGTGGAATGGAGCCTCCTGCCACCAGTGACGAAGGAGATGATTGCGCAGGCTGAGCAGCTGACGGGCCGCTTCCAGGGAGATCCTTCTTTTGCGTATGAGTTTGCTGAGAAAAACGCAGAAGATGGTGAGAAATTGATTGAAGGTGATAAGGAGGTAAATACAGCAAAACACGTCTGAACTGTCTTTGCTACAGTTGTACCCCTCACACTGGACAGGTGGTGGCTCCTCCTCCTTGTTTGTAATAAGCAGCCTGAGCTCAGGCAAAATATATCCAATTTTCTCTTTTCTGTCATTGTGTAGCGACAGCTTCTTGATTGAACTTTTATTTCAGTTACTGCTGGAGTTAAGACATGGCTCAGAAATACTATATCTCCCTTATGTTTTATTATGCACAACTGGTACAGGTTCTCACTGCAGTTTCTGAAGCTTTAATAGGAATGCAGGCACCATTGCTTATAAATGATTAGACAAGTCATAAGTAGCTTAATTGAGAGGGAAGAAGGGATGGAGGGAGGGATTGTTAGCCCACTCGTGGGTCCTCACTGCTCCTAGCCATATTTGCTGTCATCTCATGAGAAGAATGTCCAGTTTGAGGTCCTACTCTTAGTGCCATTGGGCTCCAAGATGATGAGTCAGTTGTGGTTTCTGCTGTCACCTCGAGTTTATTTTCAGAAATGACAACAAGGCTAGTCCTTGCCTTTAAAATTTGCCTATTTTACTTTAAAGACCTCGATCAAGGAGGAGGTCCGCCTTGTGGCTACGATAGAACAGATAGACAGAGCAGTTGGTATCATCCCCCGGGGGGCATTTGTGAAGACTCCTCTTGGGTCTGTGCATGAAAACAGAAACTTTGAAGGTAAAGTCCCATTTTCTTTATCAGGATCAACTGTACTTTGATCATAAATGCTGTAAATTAAGATGACTTTCTCTAGTTGATGTTTTGATTTCAGATTTATTTTTTCCTTGGGTAAGATGAATGGGATGAGAGAATTCAATGCCGCTAATGTTCAGGTGCATGATTCAACTCTGGAAGGTGGGAGGAGAGTTAGTAATGGCTCTGAGTCATTAAACCTGTAGTTCCATTTGTCTGTGTATAGTTTATGTCGGTGTTTAGCAATTATAGCTGCAGTGAATTCTCCATCTAGATACAGGATGCAAGCAAATGGGCACAGAGGGTTGGTCTCAATTCAGTCTCCATTGCTTCTCTGAGCTGCAGTTAGCATGGTCTGCAATGCACAGTATCAGGGAGTGCTGCTGCCCTGTTTCTGGCAAGTCTTTGATCTTCTGTGGAGTCCACTAAAGAAAGATTGTGATTCTGTCCTACGCTGTGGGTGTTAGAGAAACAATATGGTATTTGTTGATATAGTGAATGTTAGCCTAGCTTGCTGTATTAATGGTCACCAATGGCTGTTTGCAGGTCTTTCATTCACGGAGGCAAAAAAATTAAGTTCCTATTTCCATTTTACTGAGCCTGTTAATCTGAAGAATAAAACTCTGCTGGAAAAGGCTGATCTGGACCCATCCACCGACTTTCTAGACTCTCTGGAGCATGATATCCCACAAGGTAAAGGTAGCGGAATCTACAGTTACAATGAAATGAAAGGCAGTCTGAGTAGTGTGGGAAATGCCAAGGCAACAAGGTGTGGGTTACTGTAGAGTTGGTATTTGCTTATGCAAATCTGTAAAGGAACTTTATCCTTTACTACATATTGTATTTAATTCCTTTTTTAAGTAATTATAAAGGCTTACAATGGTAAGATGTAAGTGTACCACAGCTGTCGCATCCTTCCACAGGTCTGACCACACCAGCAGTTATTCCTTCTGCCTGAATGCCATATTCTGGCCTCACTTCTGTAAAGCCTGTGGTAGCTGATGTTCCTCTGGGGAGAGAGAACTCCACCACTGATAGAGGGAATTTATATGGTTTGAAGTAATTCAAACCTCTTGTCCCACCCCACTATTCCTGTTCTTTATCTAAATGGGCTGTCATTAACACTAAGCTGATATCTTTGAGAGGCTGAATTCAAAAGTTCCTTTGATAAACTCTGATAGAAGTGCTGCAGTGTGGAATAATCTGTACTTTAGCAGGATTACTCACCGTGGAAGGAGAAAGAAAGATGTGCATACTGGAATGTATCTTCAGTTCACATCTGTACTGTTCTGCTGGACAACTGTTAAACATATTTAAAGCCTCCTCTAGGGATGTCTGGCAGAATCTTTCTCTAAAGAGATGGGAACAAGTTGTTATTTGCTTCTAACTGCTTTTTGCTGATTTGCTGTATTTTTTTTTTTATTTTCTTTTTTAATTGGGCCAAGTGTTTTCACATTCTGCTGTCTAGAAAGAGTCTTGGGACACAGTCAGAACTTAGCTTTGCTATTTCTTTCCTATCCTGAAGTAGCAAGATAGGATAGTAGGTGACCAGTGCCAGATGGAATTGGCTGGAAGGACGGTGCATTGCCAGTACTGTAAATAGCTTCTCAGACTTTACATATATATACATATATATATATATATTCCAGTCTTTCCTTTGGAAAAAAAAAACAACAAACCCAAAAACTAAGACTGAACCTAGTGAGCTTCTGCCTGTGTTCTGAACATTTTTGACTGTTCAGAGCATAAACAGCAAGAAAATCTAAGCCATTGTTCAACTTTGTGGGAATGTCCTTGTGGCAGTCATTTTCTAGAGGTGCAGTCTGGAGAGACTGCACTTTTTTACATACACTGGCTCAATCAGCTGGCCCTTTTGTCTCAAAAAATGAGTATTGCAAGGGGGCTTAGTACTAGTTAACTCCTAAGAAAACTTTAGCTGCAGTTTCTTATGGTAGTTTAGGTGTTGCTACAGTTTGTATTTCCCTCTCTCTCCCTTTTTTCTTAGGGTTTGTGGTAGAGAGGTTTTTGGTTTTGTGAGGCCTGAAACTACAAACCTGTTGCAGCAGGAGATGAATCTGTGGTGCTTTCTATGTTTCTACTAGAATGCAGGCACCAAGGGCTAAGTGCCTGAAGGCTGATTTGCATCACAGAACTGATTTTAGCCACCTTTGAAAGATTACAGATATTATTCTGCAGTGTTTCACATCTAGTTCAAGGGACCAGGCAACTGGCAAGTCATGTTAGACATGAAGATGGTGGTTTTGTTGAAGTCTTTAAATCAAATTTGACTTATAGCTGTATTTTACCCTGTGGCAGATAGAAAATGGGGCTCAGCTGTGCTGTTGTCATGTTTGTCTTCCCTGAGGCAACCTGAGGTCTGTGTTACTGTGAACCTTTGTCCCCTTCCTGGGAGGCTGTGGTTGTTAGTGCAGATTTCAGCCTCCTCAAAAAAATTACCTCTCAAAGACTACCTGAGCTCAAGGGAAGTGGAGTGCTTCTTAATGTCAAAGAAGATTCATCATGGTGCCTATGCAGCTCTGGCTGCTCTGTCCTGCTCTTTTTTGGACTGGACCTGAGGACTGATGGAATGAGCTTGTCAGGTGAAGGAAGTAAGACATGAACTGGTTACAGGATCAGCAAAGCATGTAGCCTCTCTAACTGCATTCTTATCACATGCAGACAGGAGCTCTAACATTAAAGAAAGGACAGCCTACCCTCCCTTTAGACAAGCATTCAAGTTGCCTAAAGTACCGGTTACTTGTGAAAATGTGTGGGGGGGGGAAAGAATGGAGGGCAGACACAGGCTTTCTGCTGATATTATCAGCATAGCTCTGCCAAAGTCACTCAGTTCTGGTTGCAAGGCACTCAACTGCTGGTTCTTGGATTACCTTCCTTCAGCTCTGCCAGTGTGTGTTGGTCCCGACCCAGAGCAGACAGTGCATTTTGTATTTCCTGACACATTGATTGTTCATAGCTCTGTCAAATCCCTTCATTTTGACCTGAAACTTTTCTTCCCTTCCCTGGCTAGATCTTCTCTTGAGCAATTATTGTCAGAGCAGAAGTAGGAATTCCCAAATCTGTTGTATCTAGAACTGTATCTGAAGTCAGAATTGTCTCTGCCCTCAACAAATGTGCATGAAGTGGACTGGGGGTGAGTGACATCTGAGTGATGCTTCTAGCCTGCACTGGCTAGAATTTCCTTAAAAGCACCTTAAAAGACCTGAAGAACAGGACTGAGAGATTAAGGGCTAATCTTAACTTGTCTAAAAGTAACAACTCTGTTGGAATAGTTTTCTTTATAAATTGGAGACTGAGCCTCTGTGACGGCTGTCAAGGGGGTAACTGTCATAAAATGTATGGTGTGTCATTATAGGAGAGCAGAGGTGTCTTACAGAATGGCAAGTTGGAGGCAGAGAGAACATTTTATATGACAGCTGAGAGGTGGGAAGAAAGGAAGTTAAATCCAGGCTGAATAAGGGAAACGATGGTAAAAGCGGAGAGTTTAGTGCAAGATTGGAAAACCTGGAGTTTTGTAACAAAACTGTCTGCCACTCTTATCTTTACCAGTGGTACCTGTCATGATTGCACCTTCCAGATTCTGTGTGTGTGTCTATTGGGTTATCTGTGCACTTTAAGAGTTCAGAATATGTTGCTGCTCCTCCTCTAATCATACTGTGAGTCTGTCTGTTTTTTCTTGATGTCTCAGCTCCCAGAGACAAGTGACTGTGACTTAGCTTTTATTAAAAACCCACATTTAAAAAAAATGATTGTAGAGAAAAGTGGGAGAATGTGAATCCTGTCTCCAAAGCTAATTCAGTTGGTTTATCACCCTTAAAGTCTTCAGCTTTTTGAGCCAAACTCATGAGTTTGAGTTTGGACATGGAGTGGTTTTTTGAACATGGACTGATTGCGATACTGATCTTCTGTTACCACAGTATCAGATCATGTAATGCTTCATTCTGATCCAAATGGCCAGCTGGCCAGAATGTTGCATGCTGGGATCTGTAGGTTTTGCTGCCATATGTCTGCATTAAAGATAAGCTTGTTTGCTCTAGTCTAAGCAGACAATCTGCTCAACTTTATGCACAATTAGATGTAGCCTTTCAGCTCCTGGCAGATTGCCAGTGTGGTCTTTTCTGCTGCATGGAGTTCAGCACCCTGGGCGATAGCATTTCAGGAACTAGAGTTGTGGCAGTTTTACATGGGCTTGCAGATAATGGAATGGCAAAGCAAATAGCAGTAATTCCTAGCATGCCTACAGCATTTTCACTTGATGACCTAATGTTGTGTAGATATGAAATAATAGTCACTTGTCAGGCATTGACATGATAGGGAAAGTGAAAAGGGAGAGGGAAGGATGGTTTTACTGTGACCATGGTATTGGATGAGGCAATGATACATTCTGCAAGGATTAAGGAAGGGGATGGGAGAAAACTTAAGGTACTAGTGTAGAATGGAAAGCTTGGAAGTAAAATGGGATGGAGAATTCAGTTCTTTGAGCTTTCAAACTGTGGTTCAGTAAAGCAGTAACCTGACTCTGAAAGTTTGTTACAGATTACTGACTCAAATCACTTTGATATGGAGATATGGGACCCCAACAGGGCACTGTTATAAACTGATGCAGGAGTGGAGGTGTGTCCTAGGCAAAGGAAAAGAAAAATGTAGATAGGAAGAGATATGAGTGGAAATAAGATTTATATAGAAGACTTTATTCAAAAGCATGACTCCCAGTCAATAAATAGCTGCATTTGGTTGAAAGCCTATCACAGTTCACTGTTAAATAAGAGTAGGATTTAAATTTAAATAATTTAAATTTTTAAAGAATGTAAAAGTCAATATAAAAGGAAATACATTAAAGTGGGAACAACAAATGATTGATACAAATTGCAATTTACAATGAGTAAAAAATGACAAAGGAAGCTGGGTTATCCTGGAGTAATCCATGACAAATGTAAGGAGGATTTTTTTTTCTAACTGTATTGAGAAGAAAACATTGTCATTTCCACCAATGGTACTGATAATGATTCAGAAGTCACTGAACAAGTGTGTTTCTGGAAGGGGTCAGAGGGGGTTTCAGCTGGGACCAGTGCCAGTACTGATATTCTCCAACCTATTTTTAAGTGATCTGGAAGTAGGGGATTGGTGGAGAGACAAATAATGACAAGGGCAGGGAGGCTACAGAGATCTGGTAAAATGGGCTCACTTAAAGAAAGCACACTTTGATGTAGCTACCTACAAAGTCACATATCTAAGAGCAGGGACTGGAAGTCTGCAATGTAAGAATAGTATTTTGGAAGCTATGGCTGAAAAAGGAAATCGAGACACAACGCACTGAACACCAGCTCCCAGTCTGATCCCGAGACTTAAAGGCTAATTTGATCTATAGATACAAACAAGGGTGTAGCGAATAGGAACAGGCTATACAGACTTTACTCTTGCATCTACTGCTAGTGGAATCGTAACTGGATTACTACACATTGCAAAACTGGACAGTTGCAGAAAAGAGCCACAAAATGACTCAAGGGCTGGTAAGAAGACATAAACAGTTCAATCTGTTTATCTTGCAGAAAATAACAGGAGAATGACTCTTAGGTACTAAAGATCTATTTAGTGTAGCAGAGAAAAAAGGCATAACATGAATCAGCAGCTGAAAATTATAGCTAGAAAAACTAAAGTGAAAAATTACGTACAAA